GGGGTGAGCCTCATACACCGGGCACAATTTCAGACTCCGTGCTACTACTGAGATTTTTTTTAAAAACTCAGTAATGCTTTGCCCGACCCGGGAATCGAACCCGAGACCCCTTGCCCGGTAGTCGCACTTGCGACAACTCGGCCAACGAGGCAGTGTTAGTTACTCAGTCACACCAAAACGGCTGAAGGGACCGGGATGAAATTTGAAACAGAGGTAGATTATGGTCTGAAGTAACACATAGGCTTTTACCCTTAGGAACACGGGCGAAGTCGGTGGCAGAAGCTAGTAAATAATAAATTTGTGGAAACGTTTCTAGATGGATGACACTAACCGATCCATTTATCCCCAAGCGCTCACCATCACCGGTGACCGCTTACCAATAATTACATAAAAAAACCTTATTTCCGATGTTTAGAGACTACTTTTGTATGAACAAATTGAGGGGATTATATATCAACAGGTTAATAGACTTAGAGGTATATCAACAAGACTATTACGACCCAAAAACTACTTCCATCGGCGAAAAATATTCATCTAAATCAACAACAGCCAATACAGTGAAGCCATACGAACATTTATTTCTACACAAACAACCCCGGAACAACTTTTATGAATAGGAAAAATACTCAATGGATCCTTCTCCGTTTGCTTAAAAAAATCCTAAAAACATTCGCGGCTTGTGAAAACAACTGTTAAGGCTCAATGTTTTGAGGCGATTTGTCTCTGAATGGTACTTAAGGTCCGTCCGAATGTCGTTTATGAATTTTTAACAACACCAGTAAAGATTATGGGGATATTTAAATCTTTGGAACATTAATGTTCTTGTTTAAAAACTTGTAAGTAATAATTTTAATGTCTAAACTTTTATGTATAAAAACCGGTTAATTACGTGTCATTCTCCCTAAATCTCTTTTATCGGGTGAACGTATATAAATGTGTAGGTGGATGCGAAAATAATTATTCCCATTTATCAAATTCGTTTCCGACAGATTTTATTGCTGCAAAATCGCTATCGAATGGGTTTTGAATAGAAATATCAATTGCTGTTTTGTTTTATACATGTTTCTGTTTACTGGTGAGTTTATTTGATCATGTTAATTATAGAATCGTCAATAACATAGCATAACATCACGTCTTTTATCCCCGAAGGGGTAGATAAGAGGTGCACATTACGGCACTTAATGCGATCGTACAATGTAACACTCACTTTTCACTATTTAGTAGTAGTTTGCCCGACCCGGGAATCGAACCCGAGACCCCTTGCTGAGTCGCACTTGCGAACACTCGGCCAACGAGGCAGTCAATCTTGAATATTGTTTTAAATGATTTTTTATTGCACGTATTACCCGATTACCTGAAGTCACTAAGAATATAGCCATTTGATAGTAAAAATTAGTTCTTTTTGATACGTTTGGATTCGAAAACTTTTACAATATGTAGCTTTATGATAACGATTCTTAAACAACATACCTGTTTCACACCATTGATAACTAACTTGAGACTTACTTTATCAGTCTATTTTCAGGTCTTTTCCAACTTATAAGTCAAACACTGCTGCGTCATAACCAGATTCAACCGAATCTTCTCTCCACTGGGCTCCATATGACCATCTTTCTACACCATCTTTGGGAGTATTTAGTTAAGAAAAGAGCTAAAATCAACTCTGAACGACACTTTTAATTTTCTTCGTGGAAAGTTCGCTTGATATTACGTAGCGGTGTGTTGGGCAGTTTCCTAAAGCAATAACAACTCAGCCACGACGTCCGGCCACCATTAACTAAGGCATTATCTCGTTGCTGCTCTTTTCAAATATTTGGACGTTTTATTAGGCGCTGGAGCCAGCGTCCGTGTTTCGTTAAAGATAAAATGATAAAATCTTGTCATTTCAACCATGACACGATTCATTTTGATAAATACGTCACTTGTTAAGAAACTTGTGTTCTTGTGTTAGTCGTTTATTTTCATAGTATTTTTTTTTTAAGGGGGGAAAATCATGGAATGACTGCTCCCGCCTGGGTGAGGCGGGAGGGAGTGTCAGACTCTTACTGACTAAAAACCACCCCGTTCCTTCTCCTGCACGTCGAGCCGGAGCCCCGGTTACCCGTTAGGTTCTCCGCGACGGTATTTTTGACACCCGAAGACTGTACTATTTCCAGTATAATAAAAAATATGTTAATATTGTGTCGATTGAGGACTTTACTTAAGTGCTGAATAACTAATAACAGCAGGTAGATAATCAAATGATATCACAAACACAACATCGGTTTAAAGTTAAACGTTTGATATCAAAACTTTTTGCGATTAGTTTGCACAAACTGCTCTTGAAACTTTTCGTATCTATACAAATACTGTTCTGCATGATAACATAATGAGTCCTCTTCCATTACGATAGAACTAACAACAATACAAAGAAAAACTTTATTTACAGGACGTGCACCACTGCTAACAGAAATTACTTAATTTATTATTTTATTTTTTATTCAAGTCATTATGTCTACAGTTATATCAAATAACAAACAACGAAAGATAAAAGCTACGCACACGCATTCCTAAATCAAAATGATGGTAATAAATTATAACCAGGACAAAAAAGAACATAATCAACATGATCAAACCATAGCGCGCATAAAAAGTAGGCTCTGCTTGTATTTTAAAAACCATTTAACACGTAAAGGAATCCAATTATGGCGAATAACGAACCCCGTCCGTAACACACATACCGCCTGTATGAGGAATTGGGTAAATATGACTTTGTTTAAAAAATGCTTCGTAAATACAAGAGGTAATAAATTAACAATTTAACTTATACGTAGGTACCTATATCCTGTGTTGTGTAAAAAACGATGAATAAGCGATATTCAATCATGTGAAGATGTTATCTCGAAAATAGATAAACGCTTAAAAGTGAGAGGTCCACATTTCGCGTGTACTCTTGGCAATAAGGGCGAAAATCAATCTTTCTACATAGACATAAGTATTAAATGAAAGTATTATAATAGACATAAGTATTATTGAATACGTTTTACCATTACAAAAACCGACCACATTTTATTATTCAAGCATTTCATTCATTAAAGTACAATTTATTTTATAGCAGAGCAAGTGAAAATTCATACACGTTCCACGTTCAGCTGTTTAAAAATAAGAAAAATCTTCAAAGCATAAACACGAGCGGAAATTTTCTCAATTATACAAACTGCAGACAACAATTAACCGGATTAGTACTATCTTGTTACAAACTTGGTACACACGTACAGAACAAGGCTGCTGTTAAAACAAACTTATAATTATTTACCACTTCTGGCTAAGCAATTGTAAAACAAAGGCGGCCACCGAACACTAGCTATTGTTCTTGGCAACAGTTTTCACCTGTAATTAAAGTTTGCGGCTCGGATTATATTGGTTGTGATTGCAGGCAACTACTTAATTACGGAACAGGGCAATCCCGAGGGAGGCGATTGGATCACGAGCGCCTCCCAAGATTTACTGCTCTTGACCTCACTTGATCTACACCGACTAGTAATTATAACATCCATTACAATCACTCTAACTATTACCAAGTTTAATACAGCTTGTTTGATTGTTAGTCAAGTGTTCGCAAGTAAAACTGTCCAACAAGATTTCTTGGAGTAGTTTCCGGCATCACAGAAAGTGTGTTTGAAGATCCTATTGTCAAAATTTTTGACTTTAAATCTTTGACTGCTGATAAAAAACTGACTGCCCATTGCGAATGCCGGGCAAGGGGTCTCGTGTTCGGTTCCCGGAAAGGGCAAAGTATTACTGGGTTTTTAAAAAAAATTTCAGTAGTGGCACGGAGTCTGGAATTGCGCCCGGTAAATGACAATAAGCTCACCCCCTATTACTTGGGACTCATAACATAAATAGTGTGGAGGAATATTCTAGTCCAAATCGAACAAGCACAATTTGGTTTTTTTAAATTCTCGCGCTTTTTACGCGGTTCGTCTACAAGGGATTGTTTTAGTTACTAGTTCACATAAGACTTATGATTGAAAGTGTTTGGTGTATCTCTGCCAACCCCTTGAAGTATACTTAAACGATGTAATTTCAATGTTTAAAGCTATGTTCCTCAGTTTACGAGTCTCACGATTGATGGCCACGAAAGTAATATACAGTAATGTTTGTCATGGCGTTTGTTCGGTAATTTCAGAGACTTCTAAACTAATTATACATTCGCTCGTCGTCCCCACGTCTCGAGCGCCTCCACTGGAAAATTGGAATTTTATACTGTCGTTTTTCTGACAGGATATATTAAAATGCGCACAAAACATTTAAAATTGAAATTTTTAATTTCGTATAACTTGTTTTATTGATAATGTTCTCGAGTGAAACTTTCTCTTTCTACATTTTAAAGTCATCATAAAATAAAACCCGATTAGATACTAGATGTTTTTATTGTTATTTAAAATTCCATTTCTAAGCACCTTTTTTTTGAAGGGGGAAAAACATCCAATGACTTCGCCCGCCCTAGTGAGGTGAGAGGGAGTATCAGATTCTTACTGACTAAAAACCACCCCGTTCCTACTCCTGCACTTCGAACCGATTACTAAGCACCTACGTACACAATTTGATTAAATGTGTCAGAGACATGCTTTGGAACGAATGGGCCAGGTCAACAGAAAACCGACGTGAAACAACGCTTGCGTTGTGTTTCGTCGTGCGAGTAAGGTTACCGGAGGCCCAACTATCCCCTACCCTTCCCCAATCCCTGGATTTCCGACATTCTTCAAATTCCGGAACGCCAAAAGGCCTGTAACACACTAGTAACGCCTCTGGTGTTTCGGGTGTCCATGGACGACGCCGATTGCTTACCATTAGATGATTAGTCTAGTCGTTTACCGGTTTATCCCATAAAAGAAAAAAAAAACAAAAATTAAATCAAATACAATGTAATATATCTGCAACTTTACTACAAAACAATATTGATATAAATCTATACAAGTTAACAAATTAAAATACAATGCATTCATTTGCCATGGGAATAGAACACCAACAAGTTTACTTGTTTACTTATTGCAGCCATCACCTTTCTTTTCTTGGCGTAATGCTTCCTGGAGGCAGTACCCTGGTGGTGGTGGACACGTCAGGAGTGAAGTCAGGCCACAACAAGGCTCAGCTGCGTATCTACCACCCCTAGAAGACAACATAATAACACACAAATAGTATAACACGACATCCACAAAGGGGTCAGGGGAAATACATAGAGGTATAAGAAAATGATGGATTTGGGCTTCGGGTAACCTTACTCACACGACGAAACAAACGCAAGCGTTGTTTCACGTCGGTTTCTATGAGGCCGTGGTACCACTCCGGTTGAGCCGGCTCACTCGGTCCGAAGCGTAACTCTCTCACTTCTTTTACAAAACATTATCAAAATTATCATTCACTAGCGACCCGCCCCGGCTTCGCACGGGTGCAATATGCATGTATTATACATACAAACCTTCCTTAAGAATCACTCTATCTATTAAAAAAACCGCATCAAAATCCGTTGCGTAGTTTTAAAGATCTAAGCATACATACGGACATACAGCGAAAGCGACTTTGTTTTATACTATGTATTGATTTTGAAAAAATCTTTAGGTATTTGTAACTTACTGAGGTCCAGACGGCGGTATGTCGCCACATCTCAACTTCTCAATTATATTGTACACATCACAGACTGTCAAGTCCTCCTATAAACATAAAGTTTTATTAATGAAAATACTAATTACTGCATATCTATAATTTTAAATTATAACATTTAGCGTTATCGAAAAATTATTACCCGTTTGAAGTGTTCGTCCAACAACTTAAATTTGTGCAAATGAAGAAAGAGAACGATGGTACCCATAACACAAGTTTGATCTTACCTTGGATACTATAGTTTCATCTTAAATACTCATCTTTTATATGATGTTGTAACGATTAATGTTATATATAAGTGTGACTGTACAAATTATGGCAAATAAACATTATGTATTGAGGGGGAGGGAGGGATCCAAAACTTTGTGATGTCACATTTCAAAAACGATTAAAATATGTCTTAAAGTACGAATTATAATTAAGAGAATACTCCTTAAAGTTCAATAATTGTGAATGAGGCAAAACAGGGTCAACTCAATTTCAACCTTTTTAATTAATTACATAGGCACTGCAGTCCAAAACTCCAATTTTGATAGATTGCTACGCGTCAAGTAAGTCAAGTTAATTCTGACTCGAAACTGGCTTATTGACTTAATAAGACAGAAAAACTTAATAAATATGAATATGCTTACATAATAATCATCATCGATAGCTATGACGGGGGCATTGGCACAGGCTCCCTGACACTCAACGAGGTCCACTCCAAACATCTTGTCACCAGACAGGCCGCCGGCACAGCAGCCAGTGGCATCTTCGACCGCTCGAATTATGAAGTCAGACCCTCGCAACATACATGGCAGGGATTTACAAACCTTCACGTTGAATTTTCCTCTATATTCCCTGGAATTAAAGCCAAAGTTATTTGTAGCACAAAAGCATATCCTTCGACTTTAAGGAAATACTATCTACATTATGCCCGGTATAAGGCAATAGGCTCACCCCCTATTACATAGGACTCATAACATAAATAGTGACAAGTGGACTTCTGTGTGCACCTCTGCCTACATCTTCGGAGATAAAAGGCGTAATGTTATGTTATGTTACTATCTACATTATGTTAAACTTTAAGTCAAGAATAGTTTTGTTTTGCCTCTTCAATTTTGCTAAATAACTTTCACTAACTAATTTGATGATATTCGTAATTTTCTAGTTTAGACATTTAGAAAAGACATCTACTATGTCTAAGAACGATATGAGTTGTAACTCTCTTAACTATTCTCTTTTTATCAAATATTCTGTTCTGACTATACATGACATGGCTGACTTGTAAAAGTATTTCTTTATTGTTCTGGAAATGTGTGGTACACTAACTAACTTTTCAAGTTGGCACTTGTTATAGAGGAAAAAGTGCTAGCCTGTCAAATGCCGGACATAACAGGGATGATGACAGGGTATAAAAAATAAAAATTTAATTAGTCCGTCAGTTAGGTAATGAAAAAATATGAGACACGTATTTTTTATTTTGTTGTATAATAAAATGATACTTAGATATAACGAATCAAAGTTGAGGAGTGGGAGCTAAAACATCATTTATACGTATAAAATGTACATAAAAGTGATGTCACGCGACATTTCAAATCAATATATCGTGGAAAGTATTCGTTTCTGTAAAATATTCTAAAATAATCTACCAGGCGGACATTAAAATAAAAATTAGTCATCTACCCTATTACAACGTCTGGGCTATTCATAACAATGTCATATTATATGTCTATGTGTATATGTCTCTGTTCTATATATGAAAAATCTGTTTCTTCTTTTTAATCTGTTTCTGAACGTTCACGATCAATAATCACACCGTTCCTAATTCTAGTTCACTTCTTTCTACCAACAAAAACTAAGCCAAAGACGTACTTATACAAATACAAAGAAAAATCTTGAAGATAAACAACACAATATCTACGAATCCTTAATAAAAGGATTCCGTTTGAGGATATTAGATGAAGAGAATTCAGTATAATCTAAAGAGTTTTATTGAGATTCAAAGTAACCTTTCTTGTTATTTAGTTTGTTTATTCGTTTCAGATCTATCTGTCATTTGTTTATTTACTTACGACAAAATATTGTTCTTGTTTGGCAAGAGTTTTAACATTATCTTTTTGTTTAGAGTATTATTAAGAAGTTTTAGGATGAGTTGAGACAATAATGTGATAGTGGCACGAAGGTTATGTTGTTCGCTTCTCCAGTATGAAAAACTGCGTTTCCTGGATAAAATGTTGCCTTTATGTTATCCTTACTATCAATGAGTCAATATTCCATTCAGATCTGTTCAATAGACTGCCTCGTTGGACGAGTGGTCGCAAGTGCGACTGCCGGGCAAGGGGTGTCGGGTTCGATTCCCGGGTCGAGCAAAGTATTATATACATATACCGGTATATGGCAATAGGCTCATCCCCTTATTACATGGGACTCATAACATAAATAGTGAAAAGTGGGTGTTACATTGTACAGTGGCATAATGTGCACCTCTGCCTACCCCTTCGGGGATAAAAAACGTGTTGTTATGTTATGTTATGTTATCTGTTCAATTACCACATATAACATTACCTAATAATATTGCAGGATACATACCTTTTACACATAGTATAAAAGGTAGCCCATTCATAGACCCTCATTCTAGGCATGCTAAGGAGTTCCGCGACTTTGTGCATGGCCGATATTGGGATCCAACCAATTTGTCTCTGGACGATGTCCATTGCCATCGATATGGCAGACATTTGTGAACCTTCCGGGTAGTTCTGCACGATGGCTTGGATCCTCTGCAAAAATAAATTTTATTGTAGGTATTTAGTAATCACCTATTAGACAAAAAATATTGTTTTTACTAATATTATTATATAACAACACGTTTAACGTTATCTCTGCCTTAAAATAAGTAAATACAGTTGTCGTATTTTATTTCCTATTTTTTTTTATAGCATAAGCCGGTATACGAGCAGACGGATCACCTGATGGTAGGCAATCGGCGTCGCCCATGGATACCCGAAATACCAAGGCGTTATAAGTGCGTTACCAGCCTTTTAGTTATTGGGAATTTGAGGATTGTGGAGGATTCGGGGATTCGAGAGACTGGGGAGGGGGGTAATTAAGCCAACGGTAACCTCACTCACACGACTAAACACAAGCAAGCATGGCTCTCCCACACTTAGATTTTCATTTGTTTTATTGAATAAGGCGGCAAACGAGTAGACCGATCACCCGACGGTAAGCAATCGGCGCCGCGTCGCCTAAGGACACCCGCAACGCGGGATAGAACCTTATTGGAGGTCCAAGGTCACTCACACGGTGAAACATAATGCAAGCGTTGTTTCACGGGTATTTTCTGAAGCCGTAGTATAATAAAAAGCTATACATATAATCACGCTTTTTATCCGTGACGGAGTAGGCACAGGTGCTCATTACCGCACTTGCATCGTGCTACTGTACAATCGAACACTCCCTTTTAATCATTTATGTTACGGATCCCATACATAATATACCCGTACATACCTACATAATATAATGAGGGGTGAGGTAAAAACTATACTCCAAAGAATATTCTTAAAGTTCAAAATCGCCTAAATAAGTAAGTAAGTGAACAAATGTAGTGGTACAATTTGCCACACGTTCGTGATAAAGTATAGAGGTGGATTTTAAACCTTAATGGCTTCGCAACCACTGTACCAATTAATGGCTTTTATAAAAAGATGATGAAAACTCTCTACCATCCATATTCTCCACATCATTAGTGTACCTAATTGGTAACGAAATGGCTGAAAATTGTACTAAAATTAACTATAATCGGATTTTCATTTATAATCTGCTGTTATATATATAAGTATGTTTTTGTTAGTATACTTTTAAAACCACCGTTTTAATTAAAATGTTTGAACAAAAGATCTTTAAATATTTCGAGAACTAAAGAATTATTTTGGTATTTTTATCAAATCTCTGTGTAAAATATGGCCCTTTAGTCGTTTTTTTTTTTTTTATGGGACAAGCCCGCCACAACCTCCCATAACCGCTGCAACTCCTGTAAGCCAGGATCTACAGTAGATACAACCATGAAAACACCAGAACACTGAAGTCCGGCGCGTCCCAGGGACATGAGTAACTGTCTTGGTTCCCGCAACGAAGTGAATCAGAAGATATTATAAGAGGAGAAGAAGAAAAAACTATAGTTTCCACTTCCCTTGGTGAATTATTGCAGGAGACAGAATGAATTAAGCCTAAAGGCAGAAAGAAGAGACTTTACAACTGGGTCGCTCTTTAGTAGTTGGGTATAATTATTGACATGTTGGTTGGAACAGGAGGCAAAAGAGCAGACGGATCACCTGATGGTAAAGGATCATCGCCCCGCCCCTGAACACCCGCAACACTAGAGGAGTTACTGGTGCAATGCCAGCCTTTTAAAAAGGAGTACGCCTTTTTCAAAAATTATTCCCAAAATATTTTTTCCTGTGTAGAATGTATAGGAAAACATAGAAGACAGCAGCTGGTGCCTTCGAACTACTAAGACCTGACTCGTTGAACTCCGCACTATTTAATAGACTATCAAAACTTGGAACTTAGCTCGTTTCGTTATCTTACATAACTTGAATACTCCAGTGTCGCTTAGAACCTTGTTTAATTTGCTAAAGATAAAAATATAAAAGAAGATTTTATTTGTCTTTATATGAGAATTAATTAAATAAAAATAGTCGGCTGATGGCTCTTCGTTATTGAAAACCGGTAAGTACTGAGATTTGGCTACTAGAGATAAATGTTTTACACGCTCAGTTCATAATGTGTCCAATTCAACAGCTGAATCTGATGACAAACAGGCTAAAATGGTTCTCAAGATCGAACCACAAAATAAACAAACCCCGTAAAATCGTAGCGATTTACTAACTAAACGAATTGATGCATTAACAGTTGACACGATGACAAATCGCTTGTAAAACAAACAAATCAACGTAAACTGTATTTAGATAAAAAATAGAATATAACTTTATTGTACACTATTAATAATACAGTACACACGGCTACACATCGAGCTTTACATAACCAGTATAAACTGGACGTTAAATGTCCAGAAAGATGATGCGACGCGATACCAGGATAAACTGGTTTTGTATAGGTTGATGTGTGGCCGTGTGCACATACAGAAAAGGAAATGACAAATATAAATAAAAATAGTAATGGGCACAAAGGCGGTCTTATCACTTATAGTGATTTCTACCAGACAACCTTTGGGTGGATATAATGAAAAGAAATATTTAGACGGGTTGTGTACTAAGAAAATAAATAAATAACGTAGTAATAATACATACATGGACATATACATACCTACAAACATGCATACATATATACATACATACGCATAAACATACATATATAGAGGTACATTCATACATACATGATTACATACCTACTTACACTTAAATATACCATAATTATGGACCACATAAAAGGAAACAGTTTCATGATGACATTACAGAGAAGAGAGGTAGTGCTTCTTAACTTGCTCCTTAAACGCAGCCAACGACTGAGCTTGTCTTATCGACACTGGCAGTAAAAAAATGTATGTACGTTAAAACATTCACGTTTATAACACCCAATAATATTCAACCGATACTGCGATACGATCGCCCAACGAGAAAGTCCCTAACCAAACGTAATTAAAATAATTGGAACGACAAATTCATCGGTAGACTCCCCCTCACATATCTTTATAAAATGGCGGCTCAATTTTATAAATTGCCACTCAACATTAATGTCAAATAACACGTCATGTTAATGGTACACCATCACATCGACAGATCATTATAATTTAATTAAACAGTGATTGTTTCAATCTCAATGGTTAATTAATCATCGTAATTTTAAGGATGTGAGATCATGTTTTTAAGTATCGACATAAGGAACAATGGTATTCACATAACCGTTGCTATGTGACTAATCAAAACACCAAAGAAATTGGCATAATAAACACGCCAGTCTTTACTACCATAAACACGAAAGATTTGGCTTTTCGCTTCCGCGTGCTTTATTCTTCACATTTGTATCATTAAAACTGCCTCGTTGGCCGAGTGGTCGCAAGTGCCACTGCTGGGCAAGGCTCTCGGGTTCAATTCCCGGGTCGGGCAAAGTATTACTGAGTTTTTAAATACTCTCAGTTACTACTGAGAGTATTTAAAAACTCCACTCCACTCGGGCAGTAGCACGGAGTCTGGAATTGTGCCCGGTATATGGCAATAAGCTCACCCCCTATTACATGGGACTCATAACATAAATAGTGAAAAGTGGGTGTTACATTCCACAGTGGTATCCAGTGCACCTTTGCTGACCCCTTCGGGGATAAAAGGCGTGATGTTATGATGATGATGATTTATCTTTAAAAAAACTTTCGTGAGATACATATACTAAATTAATTATTATGTTTTCGGCCTACTGCCTACACTGTTTGACAAGGAACTCGACTAGTTTTAAGCCATGCTAGCAGATCGCGGAATGCTGCTCATGAATGACCCTCTAGCATAATTTGAAACTAGTCAAATTCCTTGTGAGGAACCTGTGCCACCTAAAATGAAATTTCTAGAACACCAAAATTACGTAATAATGTGAACAAATCTATCCACACATCTGATTTGACAATAACTAACTACAATTTATTTGACAATAACTTTAACAGGTTAGCAACAAACTAAATTATTCACTAACAAATGAATAATTGATAACAATTGTTGCGCTTTGTGTGTCAAATTATTTACATTAACTATTTGTAATAATGTGTGGTTAGAACAATTTTAAACTAATGTCATTCATATCTCGGATTAGTAATGATGTCATAGTCCTGATTATATATTGTTGAGGCACAATATATTTGAGTAATACAAGCGATAAACGCTAAAATGTCTAAATAATATGCTCATAAAATACATTTGAAATATCACCACTATCCGTGCAAAACCACATTTGTTATTGCGGTTCTACAATATAAGTTCGTACAGACAATGTGTTTTTAATATTCATTCCATTTTTACAGAAATAAAATAAATTATGAGAATTTTAAAACTGTAATGTAGGTAAGTACAGCATAATGATTATTATTATCTGGTAGATCGGCTACCGCACAGTGGCGTAGAAGGTTTAATTCCACGACCAAAATCTTTAGATTGTTCAGGGGTTCACAAAAAACCACCAGAAAAAGTTATTCAGGGTTCCAAAAACAGAACCTACAGAAAAGGGTCCTCCTTTATTGGTGTCAGTGCCATGCTTCGACACGAATGGTCCGGCTCGACTAGAGTGATCGGTTTCACGGCCTCACAGAAAACCGACGTGAAACAACGCTTGCGATGTGTTCCGTCGCTTGAGTGAGGTTACCAGGCGGAAAGGCTCAATTACCCTCCCCTATCCCTCAGTCCCCCAATCCCCCAATCCCGCACAATCCTCAAATTCCCAATTCCCGAAAGGCCAGTAAGACACTTGTAACGCCTCTGTTGTTTCGGGTGTCCATGGGCGAAGCCGATTGCTTACCATCAGGTGATCCGTCTGCTCGTTTACCGGGTTATCCCCTAAAAAAAGTTTAAATAGGGAGTTGAAAACAGAACTCATTATATTTAGTAAGTATGTCTGTTGGTATTTATATCTGACCTTCATATTAGCTTCAGTAAATTGAAATGGTATTTTAGAGTTATTTTCTTTACTGTCTCGATGCACCAGCAACATTTCCGAGGAAAGATGTCGAGTAGTGTAAATATTTTTACGACAGACGACCTGTTGAGAAAATAAAACATACATGTACTGAGATAGAAGTGCTGATTGTTAATCTGTACCTATATAGGAAATGCCCATTTACACCAACCTCTCTTAAATTTCAGGGACCCCTAATAAAGTTAAGATAGGTGAAACTGCCTCGGTGGCCGAGTGGTCGCAAGTGCGACTGCCAGGCAAGGGGTCTCGGGATCGATTTCCGGGTCGAGCAAAGTACTACTGGGCTATTTTTAAATCTCAGTAGTAGCACAGACTCTGTGTGCCCTGTATATGGCAATAGGCTATAGGCACCCCCTATTACATGGGACCCATAACATAAATAGTGAAAAGTACCTAGGTGTTACATTGTACAGTAACATTAAGTGCGATAATGTGCACCTCGGCCTACCCCTTCGGAGATAAAAGGCGTGATGTTGTGTTATAGGTGAGATTAAAGACATTTTGGTTTTGACTAACTTATAAGCGATACCTATAGGTAAAGATTAAGGGACAGTTTAGATACTCTCTTACGCTGAGTAACTCTTATTTAAGAGATGGTCTAGAGATCTTTGTTGAAAATGGCCATAAGTGTACTGAGTATGAAATACTATCATTTTTAGTAAATCAAGTCAACTAAGATATGTTTCAAAAAAAAGCAATTCAAAAATCAAAATCTTCGAATCACGAGGGCAAGAAACATAAATCTTCAGAAAATTCTATTCAACTTCATTTGAAATTGAAAAAACAATCTAATATCATCTCTAACTTTTTACTATTAAAAGCGTTGGACAGACAGATACGTACATTTGATGGACTGCTTCTCAAATTTAAAATATTACGTACAAGCAAAGTCATTGTAATAAAAATGAATTATTTTCGACAATTTTCTATGAACGATGACTGATTCTCTCTTTGACAATGACAGATAAAAATTGCTTCTCAGAAATGTCTTTGGTCATAAAGAATATATTTTATTTTTTCCATTGGATACTACTGCCTTTTTGCTAAAAACATATATTTTTATGTTTGATGTTATAGCACTATTCTCTGAAATACATTTCACCACTATCAACACACTAAACATACGTAATAAAGAAGACCCAACTACCCTACTTTGCTTCTAAATCGCAGAGAAATTTAATAACTATTATCAGAATATACGTAAACGTTCCAACCATTACAGGGAACGATGTCACAAACTAATGTACGAAATATTCTAAATATTGCCGCCCAAAATATTCGGGTAAGTTCGTAATGCCGCAAGAAAACATCGAGGAAAGTGATTTCAACAAACTAAAAGTTGTTACCAGCCACCCAATATTAACGGATATTGGAAAAAGATGGTAAAAGATGGCAGTTGCCGGATCAAGGCTAGTAGACACTAATATTCCCTGGATGCAATATCGGGGTTCATTGCCATAAAACCGCTCGAGGCGAATATCTTGGGTACGATATTGACCTTATAGCATTTCGCCGAGAAAGCAGATATCTGAGGCAATTTCAACATCGTAAATGATGTTTATCGTGGTAACCTAGTGACCCTGTCCCCCCACCGGCCTCCACCTATGAACACTTGTCAAATGGCAGTGTATCGCTTTCTGCACACGTATCGGTGCCACGTGTAACTAAGCTGTTCTGGTTGTATACCTTTACTGCGGAGGTAACACTAGCTCTGCTTGTGTTTCATCTGACTTTATACACAAGAAAGTACGTAACCGTACGCCAGGTAACCAGAGAAGTATCATTTTGTCAATAAAACCTCGCAATGAATAACCTCTTTTAACCTCAGCATAATTATAAGTATTTCTTCATATATCAATTGCTAGCTGTTGACCGCGACTTCGTCGTAGAATAATGACCTCTGGCAGAATTTAGGCTTCTGAATTAGTTTTTATCAAGGGATATCCCTCCCTACGGTAATGAATGTCATCAGAATTGATTCAGTCCCGTAGGTGATAGCGTGATAATGTAACCTATATGTTGACCCGACTTGTTAGTAATATTCATGAAAAATTTGAATTAAATCCATACAGACAAACAGACAAAAATTCTAAAAATCATATTTTTGGCTTCGGTATCGACTGTAGATCACGCTCCAAGTATTCTTTTTAAAAAATATTCAATGTATAGTTTTGACTTTTCTATAATTTTATTATATGTATAGAAGAGTATAGAAGATATATAGATATAAATAGAATAGATATAGATAGTTCATCGAAATTAAATGTTATCAATCCTATGGTTAGAATCTTTAGGACCACAAAGGTCTCCAATTCAAAACTCCAGTCACAGCTAATCATCCTAGAAATACCCACAGGCTCCCGCAAAAAAGTCCTTTGCTAAAATTAATCACATTAATACCCCAACGTGACTAATATTTCATACAAAACAAAATAGTATAATCAACTCGCAAACATATAGTCAGTGTCCCATAGCAAACAACAAAGTATTAACAATTCAAAAACAGGAGTTTGAAACACAAATTAGTATCGCCGCAGACGGGTCTGAACACAGCAGACATTGTTCATTGTGAAAACATTCGTTTAAAATGGAACACGTATACGTACTCGAATGTGTATGTAGATTGTAGAGGTATGTACTTTAATAATGCTAATAGGTTTAAAGGGGAGGATGTATTTGAGATTATAGATAGATAAGTTATACTAAGGGGTCAATATTATGAATGTTGCTATAGGTAGAGATAGAGATATAGTAGATACTTGTTTTGGATCCACTTTTCATCAGTTTTATTGCATGGACAGTGAAGTTTTTAAACTATCGAGCACCTAAAAGCAATGGTGAAAATTACCTACATGTGATCGCAAGAAACTTAGTAATCTAGCATGCAGGTCCACTTTCAGAAACATGGAATGTACAGATTTGCCTATAGACGAAATGAATTTGGATAACCATCCGATGTTAAGTTATATGGGGACGTCACATGTTTTATCTGCATTTTCTAAACTCTAGAGAGCGTTCCAGACGTTGCAAAACCCATTGTTAAGAGAGAAATATAGCCGCAGGATATTCTAGCCTAAAATCTCTATCAAAACATTTGTGAGTAGGTGTATCTACAGCATTGTATAGTTATAATACCTTTACTACCCAATAAGGTACCTATAAATTAATTTTAACTCACTCAACTAATAACAAATGTCAATAAGAAAGTAATAACGTCAATACTTCCAGTTAAATAAAAATAAACGTTCAAATTTCGGCGTCAAATTTAATTTCTTGTTGACTGCGGTGGCGTTCGTTAGATTGGAACCGAATTTTCAATCGAGCGACAAAAATATTCGGCGCCATTTTTAAACGCAACCGGTGAGTCGGTGATTCGTTAACACGTCCTGCCTAACTTCTGAATCAAGAATATTCAAATGAGCGCTTCCTTAAAAAAGCTTTCGAACGTTTTTTGCGGAATTGCAAATTCGAATTTCTGATTTTCGATTCGCGTCAAATGATCTTTTATTTTTTCGGCGAATGAATTGATCAAAACACGTGGCTATATCCTGTATGTAAGATATGGCTGATGATACAGTTTGGGCTATAGCTATGAATTTATCAACAGTCACGTGCAAAACGAACAAGGAAACAGGAAAGCCAAGTGTATCCATAAGGAATGTTTATTTAAAGAGAATTACATAACTAAGCCCCTCGCCACACTTAAAGACGGTCTAACCAAAAAGACATGTGCAAAAAGTAAATACATAAAAAACCTTTTTGGTGAGAAAGGAAAGTTAGGATTTCCACAAGTATTTTCATTTCCACTAACCGCCATGCCAGAGAACACTTTTCTGTCAAGTTAAAACGATTAGATTAACTCGACTCAAATGATAAATTAGGTTGCCATTCCATTAAAGAAGTACTTACACTTAGCAAAACTATTAATTCATAATTTTAAAGAAATCTTTGAACCCTTTAAATGAAAGTTAAGAACAAAAATTAAGGAATCTTTTGACTGCTTCATTTCATTTACATTAAGTGATCCTGCCGCGAATGAAGAAAATCTAGCTTAAAGCTGTGTCAAGTAATTTTTATTTACTTTTACTTAGGCTAGAATGTACCTAATGGAAAGATTTCTATGAAATAGAGTCGACCTCAAATGAAATCGACCCACTGATTTGTGTTAAAGGAATAGTTGTTTTACTAATGGAAACACAAATGATAAAAGTGATTCCTAGAAAACTGGTGGACAAAGGGAGGCTAATGGTTTAACTGTTATGTGAAAGAGATAGCTTAGTATGCTTAGTTGACGTAATACGCTAAAAAGGGGTGTAAAGGTATATTTCTAGTGGTTACGTTTAGAGATTGTCAAACCAATTAATTTCATTACCATGATATTTATAATACCAATTCGTAATATTTTATATTGTGTCCGTTATATGATGCCTCTTTCATTTTTCATAGGTAAAAAACAATATTACTATATAGTCTTTTTTGCTCACAAACATTCAATTTTAGAGGAGCCTTCATCATAAATGAAAACAATAGAATTATCCAGAAACGACAGACAAAACAATGTATACAACCTTCGTATAACCTAAAAATAATAATGTCTACAAATGAAGTTAGTTTTTGCTAAAGTAACGAAGTACTGAATACTGGTTTGCATGTTTACTGTGCGACATTTCGAGCTGAATACCACGGCTCGAGCCAGGATAATGTCAATCCATCTGACAGCCGACTAGACGCACCCACACCAAGCTACAAAAGCCAGGTTAAGCTACCAAGTGAGCTATTTCCAGTAGTCGTGAGAGAGAAAGAGAGGGAAGCAATGTTTAAAGCACCAAATTATTGTTTAAATGTCGTTTACATGTGTAAGTATAACATAAATCACATAATATCATGCGTTTTTTTCAGAAGTGGTAGGTAAAAGAAATCTTAACTACATAATTATAGTCTTCTATACTATTCGATATTCTCACTTTCTTCCCGCGATTGTTTGATATAGTTTATTGCTATCTTGTCAACGGCACAATAATGATGGCAGCCCATGTATTGCTGGTTTAAAGATCATGATAATCCCTTTAAATGATAAAACAGGAAAATAACCATAAAAAGCGAATCAGCCCACGCTCATTCCTTTAGGAAAAATAAAATTATTTACATTATGTTCTAATTTCCGTATATGTAATAATAAACATGCATCATGGAAATGTGTAAATAACTTTGTTAAGAAAACAGAACCTCCAACTCCCACACGATATTTTGGTGAAATGCTTCCATTTTACCTAATAACGCTACAGTGTACCGCTTACTTGTAACTTATAATAAATAGACATACTCGAACACTTGTAGTGATGGCTACTTGTGTAGAGAGCTTCAAAGCCCGTACTAACTTTACTAGCATCCTACAAGTACTAACACTACTACATACGTTTACTCATACGCCAGTACGAAGGTATTTTATTACCAACACTAGGTACCTGATATTAGACGGTGCTAAAGTTTTGGAAATGGGCCCAAAAGTATGTGTCACTTGACCTTTTTGGTAATTGATATTTTACAACAGGTCGGGTATAAAGCCCTTTTATGTGCTTTACATGTAAAACTGTTATGGTAGTCTAGCGGTTGGAAAAGAGACTGTTATACGATGATTAGAATAGATGTTCTCCGTAGAACTCTTTAATATGGAACTTAGACAATACTAGTTAAAAATGTTGTTGGCCGCTTCTGCTAACGCTTATTATTTAAGAAATTATATATTTCAAAATGGTAACAATAAAAACTTATTATCCTAAATAGTAACCTACTGTACGCGAAAAAACCATTAAAAGATTTCGTCAATTTCATTCTAATTAGTTAAGAGTTGAAAAAGACAAAACATAAAAGTAAAATAACTTTATTTTTCTTTTATAAATATTGCTCTTTAGGCTTGCAGATAAGTACCTTA